TCCTCTCTCTCCCTCCCTCTCCCCAGCCCTGCTGCCCACCTCGAGGCTGTCTGCTGCCCCATGACAGGCCTTCCTTCAGGCTGATTTTCATACAATGATCATTTCCCCCTCTTTTCTTCATTCTTTACCTCCATGGAAGTCACAGATTTAGAGCCTCTTGCCCCGATTTTTTTAATTCCCTAACAATTTAGACCTTCTTCCTTTCTTTTTAAACATCCCTCTAGCCATATGGCTGGCCTACATGGTTTCTTTTGTTTGTTTGGTTGGTTGGTTGGTTGGTTGGTTGGTTTATTTCTAACAGAATGGCTCCATCCCACCTTCCCTTTTCCATTCTTTTCCAGGGAAGCTGCAAGATTTACAAATGACCTGAACCTGGGGTTTTTCTTTTAAGTTCTAGTAAGTTGGTCTTACATTTCCCTGTGGGTCAGTTCTTAAGTTAACATATTAATAAGACTTGGAACCCAAGAAGGGACCCAAATTTTCCCCATATTATATGATGACTTCACTCAGACTCTCCACAATTTCTTTACTGGCCTTTAATTATTAATCAGCTAAGAAAAATGAACCCAGAAAGCATCAAGCCTTTCATACACTTCAGAACCTAAAGAATAGCGACACCCCAAAACTCACACTATCCTCTGTGAAAACATTTTATTTATCCAGAATATACTTTGCCTCTTGAATAAGATCACTCACGTGACCCAATAAGATGGTAAAGGCCAGTTTTGAGCCTCCTAATCACATCACTATTGCTATGGTTGGAGATGCAATGTGAGAGAAAGTAAACAAGGTCTCCTGCAGTATAGCTTGACACATCCATTGCCACCCTGAAGCAGGGTGGCTTTGGTGGCCAGTTGGAGAGCTTAGTCTACAGTAATGGCAATGAAATGAACAGAACAATAGAGCATGGAGAGAGATCTGTGATGAAAGGGTTACTGACATTCTCCACTGAAGAAGAGAGATCACAAGTACTACTCTTGCCTGTCTATCTGTACAAAATCTTACAAATACTAAGGTATACAGATACTAAAATTGGCTGGGGGTGCTATTTTGATTAGTGCAGCTGCCTATAAAATCATGAATTCACCAAGTTTGACTTGACAGAAACTTTTTTGGTCTGTCAACCCTTTGAATATTTGGAATACGTAGGTGATGCTTTAACAGTTTCTTCAGAAATGTCACACCACATCTTCTGTAGCATATATTCAGTCCAGTCTACCACCATATTGCCCTCAAAATAGTCGAACTTGTCTGGTCTCAGAAACTAAAGAAGATCAGGTCTGTTAGTACTCGTGTGGGAGAGCCTACTATATAGAACAATGCATATAGTCTTGTCTTAAGGATATTACATTACATGTCATATACAGAAGAACAAAGATAAAGTAAGGTTTCTTATTAGGACAAAAAATAACAGTAAAAAGCAACAACTTTTGAGTACTGGAAGAAAAACTTGTCACCCAGATTTCTATACATAGCAAAATACCTTTCAAAAATGAAGATAAAATAGCCACAGGAAATACTGTCAGAATATCTAAATTAACCTCTGCACATTTTTTCAGGTTGCAGAAAAAACATAACCAGACTACAATAGCATAGCCATACATGTTGCATATAAAAATATGTACTTAAAATACAGAGAAACAATTATATTGAAAGTAAAATAATGAAAAATACAACACAATAACAGTCAGATAAAAGCTGGAGTAACTAACTCTTTTCATACTAGACAGTGTTAATCTCAGAGCAAAAGTTAGCAGCATGAATAAAGAAACTTATTTCATGATTTAAAAAGGGGGTTATAGCCTGGCGGTGGTGGCGCACACCTTTAATCCCAGCACTTGGGAGGCAGAGGCAGGTGGATCTCTGTGATTTTGAGGCCAGACTGGTCTGACAGCCTCCAAAACAATACAGAGAAACCCTGTCTTATAAAATCAAAAAGGGGGGGGTTTACAATAGAGCTAAAAACAGTCATTGTGACAGAAAAACCCACCTAGGAGTAGAACTTTTAATCACACAAAGGAAACATATAACTACAAGAAAGAGTAAACTAGTTTATTACAGTGGGATGTTTCAGTCCTCTCAGTAATAAACAGAACAAGGAGACAGACATCAGTGAGGACTAACAGCCTCCAGACCAGTGAGACCTTAACAGTGTAGGAGCCCCCACCCAACCACCGCAGAATGGTTTTGAGATGCTTCGGAACTTTTATCCCATACTAGGCCATAATACAAATCTCAACGAGTTTAAATGATATGATGTAAGGTGCAGAATTAAAGTCAATTGTAAGTGCCAGCGCTTATTTACTAAGCCAGGGTCTCCTGATAAGGTCAGTCAGAAATGAAAACCATGTGAGGATGGAGGAGTCTCAGCAAGACCAAGGGTGAGACAAGTTATAAAGACCAATCAAGCAATATTAGACTCTTCATTTCCTCATCAGAAACACAATACGCTGGTGGTTTCTAGGAAGAGTACAAGTGTGGTTGCAAGTTGTACAGGGTGTCTAAGACTAATTTTTCTATCAAGCTTCTATATGTTTTGCTGAATTCTAAGAAACAGAGAGACAGAAGGCAGCTTGAGTGCTTCACTGCCTGAGGGAGTGTCTTGGTTTCTCAGGAACTGAAAGACACACAGTGCCCCAGGAGTCACAGACTCTAATCTGATACACCTGTGACACAGACTTCTCAAGGCTGCTAGGCCAGACCAGCTCCATGATTCCTTGCAATCAGTGACAGAGACAGCTGGGAAATACCTAGGTATTTAGAAATAAGTCACACATAAAATAAGAAATCTGACGGGTGTTAGTAAAACTGAAAATAGAGCAGAAGCGTGGAGTTGTAGTCAGGAGGCAGTTTTCGGGCTGCCCCTCTATAGTAAAGAAAAACAGTGTGCAGACCAACCCCAAAGCCAAACATCACCCTGAGAGCAGCAAGGAACCTGTCAGGAGATATACAGGTGTTAGAAATTATTGAGCTTCAAATTCAGAGCCTCTTTCTATCAGTGGATGTAGGTGGTGGTAAAAAAAAAAAAAGCAATCAGAAATCCAATTCAGCGTTGCTTTGTGTGTGAAGGGGAAAACCTGGATGAAAACTTCATTACAAAACTCAGCAGGCACACACCTTGAAGTCCCTTCTATGCCATCACAGGCACTTACCAGAAAGAAAGAAAATCATGGAAGAGGACTTGTACACAGTTATTTACGGAAGCTGCATAATAAAATGTGTTACACCAAAAATAGAAAGGAACAAAGTACTGGTTACATATGAGAACAGGAATGAATCTTCAAAATACTGTTGTGGAGCTCAGAAGTTAGGAGCGCTTGTTTCTCTTACAGTTGATCTCAGTTCTATATACCCCCACAGTGGCTTCCAACCATTCGCATCTCCATTCCATGGGATCCAACATCCTCTTTTGACCTCAAAGGGCAACAGGCATGTTTGTAGTACACATGCATACATGAAGGCAAAGCAATCATGATCATAGAATAAAATTAATACATCAGAAACACTGTACTGTGAAAGAGGACAATGTAAAAGTGTGTGCTGTGTGATTCCATTTGTACAAAATTCTATAACACTCAAGACTCACCTATAACTAAAATATCAGAACAGTGATGACCTCCAGAGAGGTCAGTGATGACCTCTAGCCTGACAGGTTGAGCATCCCTGCGTGAAGCATCCTAGCTTGAAGGCTACCATCTCCACTCTCCATAGATGCTTGGGTTTCACAGCTCTCTCTCTCTCTCTCTCTCTCTCTCTCTCTCTGTCTCTGTGTGTGTGTGTGTGTGAGAGTGTGCGTGTGCAAACCCAGCAAATGATCAAATGATACCCTAACTCACGCATTTCACTGTCTGAAATTTTACCTCAAGAGGTCTACCTAAGCCATAAAAAACATATAAACAAATGATGGTCTCTAATATGCATATGAATGTATTTAAGGAATAGTGAGTTGATATTTGCAACTTGCTTCAAAATGCATAAAATAGATAGACAGGTGGGCAAATAAATTAGGAAACATATCGAGCAACAACTCAACAGTAGAGCCATGGTGTCAAGCACACCGGTGTCCTGCTAAATCCTGTCCAATTCACTATGCTTGAACTCTTTGGGTAAGGTGCTGTGGACATTAAAACCCTGGATACAGGGTAGAAAACACCTCTCAGGGACAAATGTGTAGGGCAGGTGAAATGGTGCAGCGGGTAAGGGCGCTTGCTGCCAAGCCTGATAACCAGAGTTCAAGTCTTAGAGCCCACTGGGTAGATGGAAAGGGCTGGTCCCTGTAACCCTGTCCTCTGATCTCCACATGAACAAGCAGTTAGCAAAGGAATAGAGGTCTTCAAAAACCAGCCACACCAATGGATTCAGAGAAGAGGCAGAGAGGCAGCTGTATATTTGGATGTTGCTACCAACAACACCAAATGATACAGGGCTTATTACATAATAGAGGAAATTGCTTGGAGGACAGAAGAGAGTCCAGAAGGATGCTGTGGACAGCAGCATTCAGAGGCCAGAGTTAGAATGTACTCCGAGTCACCCTGGAGAGGCTTCTGTCCAATCTAAGAAAGCACTGGCACCCTCTGCTATGATGGCAGAGCTTCCCAGCTGAAAAGAAATCAAGAAGTCAGCCCACCACTTCCTGGGCATCACTGGTATGGGATGCAGATTGCTTGTTCTCTCTCCTATCAGTGGTGCAGAGACCATGGAGCCACCAAACACAATTCTCCTCCAGTCCAGTATCAGAGTCTGGGTGATTTTCTCCAACACAGGATGCCAAAAACCCCTACATCAGAGACACCAGCCTATAGATACGCAGCCTGCCCCAAACCTGGATGCCCACACTCACAAAAGGAATGGCCAGTGTCTCCACCAAGAGAGGCACATTACATTTACCTCTGTCTCATTAATTGCTCCTCTGTTCTTTGCCACAGCATCAGATTCTCAGTCATATGTTCCAACTAATTCATCAACAGCTGGATTAATCCATGCCACTTCTTTCTACCTCCTCAACAGACACAAGGAAACACCTTCCTGAGAGCCACTTTGACATCTTTATTCCTCAGAGAGTAAATGAGGGGGTTCAGGGTAGGGCTGACTGCTGTGTACAATAAGGCAACCACCTTGCCATTTTCCAAGGAGGACCCGGAGCCAGGCTGCACATAGGTATAGATGACAGTGGAGTAATACAAGGTGACCACCACCAGGTGGGCAGAGCAGGTGGAGAAGGCACGCCTCTTGCCCTCAGCTGAACGGATGCGCAGGATGCTGGCGATGATGAAACTGTAGGATATCATGGTCAGCAGGAAGTTGACCACACCAAAATAAACATCTGCAATGACAATCATGATGTTGTTGAGGGTGGTTGGGCTGCAAGACAGCAGTAGCAGTGTTGGGATTTCACACAAAAAGTGACGAATTGTGTTGGGGCCACAGAAACTGAGCTGTGCCATCAGGCCAGTGTGCACAGACGTGCTGACTGCGCTGATGAGCCACACACTGCCCGCGAGTAGGACACAGACGGGCCGACTCATCAGCAGGCTGTAGCGCAGTGGGCGGCAGATGGCCACATAGCGGTCATAGGCCATGGCGGTGAGCAGCAGCAGCTCAGCCCCCAGAAACCAGGTTAGGAAGAAAAGCTGGGTCATGCATCCCTTATAAGAGATGTGGCTGCCCTTACCCACCAGACCCTCCAACAGCTTGGGAAGAACCGTGGATGTGCACACAATGTCCAGCAGGGCCAGGTTTGCAAGGAAGAAGTACATGGGCGTGTGAAGACTCGGGCTCAGGCTGATGGCCATGATGATGAGGGTGTTTCCTGCAAGAGCCAGGATATAAAAAAGGAAGAAGAAGGCCAAGAAGAAAGCCTGGAAGCCAGGATCCCCAGAGAATCCCTGCAGGACAAACTCTACCACAGATGTGAAGTTGTTCATTGCCATTTGAGAGTCAGCCACTGGGTACGGTCAAGGACACGCAGGGTGTAGAACAGCCATCATCTCATATAGGGTCTGGCCAGGTGTGACTAGGACTGCTTGTCATCGTTTCTGTTGCTGTAGAAATCACATAATTAAAATGATTACATCATCTCTCAACATAGTACAATAGTCTGAACTCGCCACACAATAGACCCAGAACAGAAGGAAACTGTGCCCGTGGTGGCAGTATCCCTCTGTAGCATCTGATAATGTCCTATGATATCCTGAGACCTGGAGCTTCTATAAGCGCATACACCAGACTGCTAAGGCATACCAAGGGCCAATCTGGACCCCAGCACAGGTGTTTTGGACCTAGAGATGACCAGCCTTAACAAGGAGTGGGGCCAGGCTTCTCAAAGGAAGACTGAAAAACAGTTCTGTAGAAACATGCTTGGATCTGGAGGGGGGTAGAACGTGAAACAGTTACAGCATGACTTACAGTTAGCACAGATAACCCTGGCTCTTGGGGAGTGGAATGGGCATATCTCTGTCCGTAACTGTCCATTTCTTCCTGGCCACCCTAAGCCACTCCTTGTGGGTGATAAACCCTGTGAGGTAAATATACATCACCCCCCTTCCCTGGACCTGGTGGAGGCTTGTGCCTGCCAGAAAAGGTATCAGGCTGTGCCAGGCCTGAAAACACAGCACAAAAGGCATGGACACACTTCAACCCAGGACCCAAATTTCTAGGCTATCACCCCTGCCCAGCCTGTCTTCCTCATGCCTCAAACACCTATCTATCCTTAGTCACCCAGGCCTCTTTAATCATATAAACCTCTCAGGCCAAGAAGCAGGTGGACTGATCAGCATGGGGTAAAGAAGCTCTGCTCTCTCTAGTGTCTCCATGGGACTGAGATGTCCCAGAGCCTTCCTGTACATTCACGAGTGGCCTGTTGACTACAAGGAAATAAAGAACTCACACCCGAGTAAGCCCTGAATAAAGAAGTGTATCCTCTTCCCTGTGAATGCATAGATCAAGGCCTTTCTTCCTGCAGGGGGAGCTTGAGAGCAGGACCTGAGCTTTTGATACCTCCCCCACCTCCTTCCACTGAAGAACCTAGCTACCCAGAGTCTCCAGGGCCAACACTTGTCCCTGAAAGAGCAAAGGTTGGTCTGTCAGCATTCCCTGCAGATGCCTGATGGCTTTGATTAGCACACAGGGCTTTTCGGTTGAGCCCCCAAATCTCCTGTCTATCTGAAGCTCTGGGCCACAGGGGACCCTGAACCCTTAACTCTGCACCAGATTCACAGGAAACCACTATGCCTCTCTGAGATCTAGATCTACCTTAGAGCTAAGCCACAGGGTGAGATTTCTGTTCAACACTGATCAATGGCCCAGACAGGTCCCAAAGCAGGCCTACAGAAGCAAGCACTTAAAGTTGCAAACTAAAACTGTGAAGAAAAGTGATTCTAGTAATGTTTTTTTAAATATTGAAATAGGTCAGGGCAAAACCAAATGTCTTTTGACAATCCCCCTTCCCCCCACAAAACGAAAAGGAAAAAGCAGAGGAGGTGAGTGCCCAAAAGGAAGAAGAGAGTAGAGGAAGAGTCAACTCACATGGAAGGGGAGCTGCTGAGTGCTCATCTAAGCCCAAGATGTCTTCAAGTCGCGGAGAACACGCAGTGTGGTCACATTAGATCCCTGTGTCTCTTTCGTTTGCTGTTGACCTTAAGGTGGGTTCTGCCCCTTGGGGTGGACACTGAGATTGCTAGGGAGTGGCCCTCAGAGAGCAATTACCCACTTTGATGTAAACAGGAGTCCCTGAGGGGCCATAGTCCCCAAACTGTGATACCAGGACCCTAAGGCACAGAGAAAGCAGGCTCCAGAGGCCACACACTCAGCTCTAGGACACTGACCCTTACATTGATTTCCACCCTGGGGATGCCCTCAAAACAGCAGTCATGTATGCTTGATCCCTGTAGGAAGACGTATTTCACATTAAGGTGCAATTCCTAAGCATAGTCTGTGGGTTTAGATTACTTAACTGTATCATCTTGGTGTGACATAGTCCTATCAATAAACCAACACTGATTGGTCCATCTGTATAGAGAGAGTGAGAATGGGCCACCTCCTTGCATTGCATGGAGAGTTCAGTCAATGGGGGGCATCACAGTTGAGGTTGGCCATGAGCGTATGCATCTTTTCATTGTAGTTTCCAAATCCTTCCTTGAGGACAGAATTTGATGTCTGTGGAGATGAAGGTCAGTTCCAATAAACAGGACATCAGTTCCACCATACATGTTCTGTGGCACTGGGTAGAAATGACAAGGCACATGAGCTCTTAGCAGCAGAGTGGCTTTCCTGTAGAGCTAGAAGGCCCACAGCAGGTGGGTGAATCATCTCTTGCAGTCATAGAACAGTGCAGAAAATAACCCATTCAGAATCAGTCATCACAAAAAAATCAAATAAGCTAAAATGATCCAAACTTCGCAAACCAAATGACCACGTGCCACCTTAAGTTCCAAATCCTCCAAAATCCTGAAATTTTGTCAATTTTGGAGTTTGCTCTTATTTATTATTTAAATTAAAAACAATCTTTTAAAAAATGTATTTAAATTAGAAACAAGCCTGCCTCATATGCCAATTCCAGCTCCCTCTCCCTCCCCTACCCCCGCCAGCCCCCCAACCCATCTTCCCTCCGCTCCCCAGGGAGGGTGAGGCACTCCATGGGGGCCCTCCCCCATGTGTCCAGGCCGAGAGCACATCCCTCCATGTGGAATACAAAGTCCATTTGTATGCCAGGAATAAATACTGATCTACTATCCGAGGCCCCATAGATTGCCTAGGCCTCCTCACTGACATCCACAAACCACAGGTCTGGATCAGACCCACGCTGGCCTCTTAGCCATATCTGGGGTCCATGAACTCCCTTTTGTTCAGGTCAGCTGCTTATGTGGGCTTCACCAGCCTGGTCTTGACCCCCTTGCCCATCACTCCTCCTTCTCTGCAACTGGGTTCCTGGAGTTCAGTTCAGTGTTTAGCTGTGGGCATCTGCCTCTGCTTCCATCAGCCACTGGAAAAAGACTCTAGGGTGGCATATAATGTAGTTATCAATCTCATTGTAGGGGAAGGGGATTTATATGCACATTCTTAATCCTTCACAAAACTTCACCTACTTAACAGCAAACACAACAGTCTCAGCACAACTCAAGATTTGAGCAATTGCTGATGTCATCAGAGAGGTCTTCATTGTTAGTTGATGGGAACAGATGTAGACATCCACAGCCAAATATTAGGCAGAGACTGAGCCCAAACTGGAGATCTCCATCAGGTCCCTCCCTTTGGGTCTCAGGGAACCCCAAGGATGAGGGGGAGGAAGAACTGTAGGAACCAGGGGGAGACAAAAACACCAGGAGAGCATGGCTCACAGGATGAACTAAGCAGAGCTCATAGGGGCTCATGGAGACTGAAGCAATCATGGGTCCTGCACGGATTTGCACTCGGTCCTCTGCATGTGTTACAGTTGTTAGCTTGGCTTTTTTTGTGTGACTCCTAACAGTAGGAGTGGGGGCTGCTCTTGAGACCCCTTTTCTCCTACTGGATTGCTTTGCCAAGCTTTGATATGGGGGTTTGTGCCTAGTCTTACTGTATTTTGTTAGCCATGTTTGACTGACATCCCTGGAAATCATTCTAAAGGGAAACAGGAGTGGATCTAGGGGAGAGGTATTGGAGGTATTGGAAGGAGTGAAGGGGGGGGGGGAGGAACTACAGTTGGGATGTATTAAAAAAAAATAAGAAAAAATAAATAAATTATAAAAATGTAAGGCATGATACGAGTTTCAACTACATCTGATCTTTCTAGTCAATTTTCCATAAAGGGACAATACTGGGTTATAAAGCTAATAAGCAGTTAAAGGCTCTCACAACACTGGCAGAAGGAAATCTCATGTTCCAAAACAAGTGACTGTGTTTGTACCACATAAGCATCAAAACTGGGGCTAATCAGTTAATAAGAAACTGATGGGCATCTGCCCCTCATTGACCTGGAGCAGAAGTCATCCCCAGAGCAGGGCATCCAGGCAGTCCAGCAATGAGGTGTGGCAATGTGGCCACGGACCTAGCAACTGCACATGATGGGGACTCTGTTACATCCGTGGAAAAAGTCTTGGTGGTTGGTCTGCTGTGACGGTCACACTCAGTGGAGGTCATTAACAGGTACAAAACAAGCAGCAGGCCTATAGAGTCAGTAACTTGAGTGGGATGGATAGCCCTGCATCTGGTTTGTCCTCTGCCCCTTGAAACTGGCCCACCCACTCCATCTCAGGAATGGCAGCACAGAATACAGGAAGCTTTGACTCTTGAAGATGAGAAGGCACAACAGGCCATGTTTTTATTTCTATTTCAGAGGCAACTGTAAGGCTGTCTCCTATCCCACCACACACAGGAGAGAGGGCTCAGAAGACGGCCAAGGGGAAGCAGGTCACATTCAATGGGCCTCTGCAGAACACACAGCAGCAGCATGTCCTTATCCATAACACATCCAGTACACTAAAACGACTGGTGTTACACACAGCATGTGTGTAGGAGTCCCTGCTGGTCACCCTCTGGGTCATGGGAGTATGAACATTCATCATGGAGTCAGGTAGGTCTCTCTGGGCTACATCTGAGGAGAACTGTGTTTGGAAAGTCTGGGTGGCTGCCTTCTCACGTGAATTGAATAAGAACTGATCTGAAGACAACCTTGAACCCTCCTTGTTCAGTGGGACAGGATAGTCAAGTGTTGGCTTTTCCCTTTGCTCGTGGTATGCAGGAGTTCCACTTGTTGATGTCCTGGAGCTGCCAAGGGGCTGGCGCACATGGGGCTATTCAGTGCCAGGTTTCAATCACTGGGGTCCAATTTGTTCTCTCTGTATTTGATGCTTTCCCATGCAGCAGTTTGGACATAAAGAACTCCTGGGACCCCACTTAGTTATGATCTCTGAAGACAAATGTGTTAATATTTTCAACACACCTATGTAAATCTGGTTGCATGCGCTAAGCTTACTCCACAGCTCCAGAGAGACAGGCATCAGATTCTGACAGCAATCCCACATCCATGCACGGCTCCAGTGGCCATCCTGTTTTACAGCTTTACTGGAATTTCCAAAGCAGGGATATCCCCCTTGTGTGCCGCTCCAATGGCTTGTCTACCTGTCTCATTTCATTGGCCTGGGAGGCTGGCTCACATGGGCAAAATCCTGAACTCCCTCCCAAGGACCCCTCTCTGGAGAAGTCCTTGTTTCTTCCTCTGGGTCCAGCCAGACTCCACTCAGCCCAGGTGCTCTCTGTGACTCTAGTTGTGGACTTGTTTTGTTCCTGTCTTTTTTTTTTCATTTTTCAAGACAGGGTCATACTGTGTAGTTCAGGTTGACCTTTAACTCCAGATCCTCTTTCCTTAGCCTCTGAAGTGCTGGGAGCATAGGTGTGTTCCACTGTACCTGACTTACCCACAAATTTGTGTTTGCTGGAAGCGAAGGAAAACATCAACAAAGATATCAGAAGAGTAAGTGTGTTATAAAATCACAGTGCAGTGCAAGTGTTTGTCTGGTTCATGCTATCATCTACTCCTAAGTATGCCATTGTTGTTCTGGCTTTCCACCCATGAACTGTGCTAGCCTCAGCATCCTGCCTTCTCTGGCCTGAACATCCAGCAAGAGCACCCTGCCTATAACAGAGTAAAACTAACCCTCCCTCTTTCATGTGCATCACTGAGGCCAACATTTTTGATAGAGCTTCTAGGAAAACAAAAACCCAAATGCCGCTTCAGGAGAGTTACTTAAAGGCTAGGAGTGTCAAATGCAATCTCAGACTCTAGAGGAAGCAGGTCTTTGCTGACCTGGGACCAGGCAGGGACAGATGGTGTATTGATGTGAGTGACAAATGACTCCATAAGCTTAGGTATTTGAACATTTGGTTGCCAGCTAACGCCACTGTTTGGGGAGGCTTAGGATGTGTAGCCCTGCTGGTGGGAGTACATGACTGAAGGCAAGCATTGAGAGCTTTATAGCCTTGCTGCACTGTAGATGGAATTTTTATACTGTACCTCCACTTTGTGCTCATGGTTAACGATGTAATCTCTCAGCTTTCTGTTCCGGCCACTTGCTGCCATTACTGCTCCTTGAGGCTGTGCATTCCTACTAGGATGGACTCTTACCCTTCTGAAATGGTAAGCCCCAAACAGACTCGTCTTTAAACTGCCTTGGACATGGTATTTTATCACAACAACAGAAGAGTAACTAATTCAGATGGGGAGGACCCTCATCACCGGAGAATGGAGCAGCAGTGGCCTAGACACCACTTGATATAAAACCAGACCCCAACAATGTTCCCCATTGACTCACCCTGCCTCCACAGAATGCAGCAATGCTCCCCTGTGGCTCAGCCTCACCTATGGAGCCCTCTTCACTGTGACTTTTCCCTTGACATATCAGCAAACATTTCCCGTTACAATGTATGGAACTCATCCTGTTGGTCCAGGAGCATCTCTGACCACTAACCATGAAGTGTTCTGAGTACTCTGAGTCACCACTCCTTCCATTAACACAAGTAATTCTTACTCAGAGCCATAGTGACTGATATGGTATAGCTGTCTCATCCTAGATTCAAACATTCCATCTTGCAAGAAACTGCTTAAGTCCAAAAGATGAGAAGGAAATCAAAATAGCTTCAGTAAGTCCTTGCAACTAGTCACATGCACTGGGCTCCTCCCATCCAAGAATAAACAAAGGCTGATGAGAGTCACTCTGAGACAAGCCAAGCTGCAAAGAAGATTCTGAGACCAGAATAGCTGCCTGGAAGAGGTTTAGACCAACTGAGTCCCATGGAAAGGACACTCCCCAACCTGCTGAGCTGCCTGCAGGCTGTGCAAAGTGTTCTAGGTCCCCAGCTTTGTGAACTGTCACCCATGCTGGGATGAGCTTTGCTGTCTGGGAAAAATTTCTGCTCCTCTAAGTAACTCCTCTCCCATACTCCTGTAAGTAACCCTAATACATGACATAAGATTGGTTGATTGATTGATTGATTGATAAGTAGATGATAAATAGAAGATAGGCAGATAGATAGATAATAGACAGTAAAAACAGATTTTTTTAAAAAGCCATTAACATAAAATGAGAACACATCTGGAAAAGGTGACATAAGGGAAGATTTGGTGACAGAATAATAAGCTAGCTTCCAAAGATTTCTCCCAACACTATCTCACTCTGTTCCATGGAAAAGCAAACTAATACCAATGAGAAATCAGTATACATGCATAAGAGCAACTGCCTTGAGGAAGACTGATGCATACAACACTGATGAGGATGTAAACCAAGGAAGCATGTAGTCTCTGCTAGACACAGAAGAGATGGTGTCACTGTGGAGTGTGACACAGCATTCTGTATGAAACCAACTACTATCGCCACAGTGTCCATGCACAAA